CAGGATCGAACATTGTTTCGTTCTGCTGTGCATGGGGTCGCTATGAGTCGGTTCTGACTCGATGGCACCTGACAACAACAACAACAACATCAACCCTGTATACAGAGGGAATAGGATTGATACTTGATGTGAAGACTCCTTCCCGCTCGGTTGGTATCTTGAACTACTACATCCATAAGTATAGGTCAAGTTCATCAAATAATAACAATTTATACTTGTTTCCTTTATCAAAAAAAATTTTTTTTAATCTTCCTCTAGTCAAGTCCTGATCATCAAGCTATTGAAGTTCTGTCAAATGGGTATGATCTGCAAGCGTGGGCATTCTTGTGCACCTCCCCTCACTTCATATCAGCTGGATGCTTCACTCTCAGCTCTAGCCCTCCATGGCTCTGTCCTTGTCCATGGGCTCAGGTGTCCCCAGGTCTCAGCACACTTCAGTCGGTCCATTTTTGCTTTATGTTTTTCAGACTCTTTTACTAGCTTTACTTGCCTAGACTTTTTTAGGTCTTTTTTCCTTTCATTCTGTTTTCTTATGTTTTAGGTGTTTTCTCTGCATAAAACTTAATTTTTTTAAAATCCAGACTGGCAAAAATGTGTCCTTGCACTGATGCATTTGTTTGTAGGCAATGGACTAGCTTATTGGTGGATTCTGCAGGAGTTATCAACTTTGCACAATAGATTAAGCCTGTAACTTGCTGCCTCTTGCCCCACCTCTCCTGCCACAGAGGTAAGAATTTGTCATGCAAATTCAAATATTGGCAAACTTGGGATTTCCTTTTCCCAGGGATTCCCCTGCCCTGCTCAGTACAGGAAACATTCCTTCAGGTGAGGCCGATATTATTTGTGATTAGCCTTCACTGAGATGTAATGCTTTAGGGTTGCTCCAACCTCACCTGTGAAGTCTGTAAGGGCTGGGACTCCATTCCTGTCATTCCATAGTGTGGTCTCTTCCCATCATTCTGCTCTGTTCTGCCAGCTTTGAAGAAGAACCTTTCTGGATTTTACGCTCACCAGCCGGTTGGTCTAGGTACGAGGCATCACTGTGTGCCCAGTGTATTATTCTCCTCTCTGGAGGCAGACCATCTCCTGGGAGGCCAGCTCCCTGTCTCCTCCTCCTCCTCCCCCACCTCCACCCAGGACTGGAGGCTTAGGTTCACAGGCCCTCCGCAATGTCCGGTGGCTTTCACTGTTTGCAGGCCTCAGCAACTTCAGAATCTCTGTCCCTTCTTCCATCTCTATCCCTGGTGCATTGGACACCCATTCCAAGTATCTCCCACCATCTCACTAGGGCTCTGTTTAGGGGGAGGGAGGAAGTTTCAGAATGGGTCCTGTGGAAACTGCCCTACCTGGGCTGTATCCCACACCTGAACGGGTTCCTGTAGGCTGGCTGGCCAGAACTCCCCAAGCCCACACCAAATTCGGATTGGTCTGGCTGCTGCTCTTCATAGCTACTCCGTGGCCCACCACTCTCCCCATCCGCCCCTGGGAGTTACTCCCTGCTTGTGGCGTGCGTCTTGCCCGCTAGGGGCCAGAGTGTACTGGCTGGGGGTGAGGGGAGCGCCCAGATCTGAGACTGAGAAATGGGGGAAGCTTCGGCCCAGAGACTCAGAAGGGATTATTGGGAAGTCTGTGGGGATCAGCGGCTGGGGAGAGGTTCTCTGCTCCCGGGTCAGTTGCCCCTCTCAGAAGCGGGGTGCAGTCCTCCAGGGTTGAGATGTGAGTGAGGCTGGAAGAAGAGCTAGGTGTGAACAGCCTCATTCAGGCCCCAGTGCAGGGCTAAAGGAAGTAAAGGTGCTGAACGTGTAGTCCTGCGTCCACCTGAGTTTGCGGCCTTGGCCCCTCAGCAGAGCTGTGGCTGCTGGTCTTTGACAAGGCGGGGGGCCCTGTGCCCTTCAAGGAAGCACAGAGGATGGGAGCTCATTTTTGCTGCAGGCCCACAGCCCCACCTCACCCTGCCGTGCTGGCCTCAGCTGGGTGCCAGGGTGGAGGATCTGAGGACATCTGCGCCCCGCAGCGACCCCCTGTGCCTGGGTTTGGGGAGGGGTGGGGTGTGGCGGCGGTTCCCTGGGGGCCGCTGGGCAGGGTACCGGCTGCAGACGCGAGGCTGAGCTTCTCTCTCTCCCAGGGCGGCCCCGGGACCTCGCCGCGCCGTGCCTAGTGTGCCATGGTTCCTTCCAGCCGGCGAAGGCCTGCAAGCGCTGCCGTTCCTTCTGCGCCGCGGTGCTGCAAGGCGGCTCCTTCGTGAAGCTGGGGGGCGGCCAGGGCGGCCTGTGACGCGCACAGGACAGAGATAACGGACTTGTATACAGAGCTATTTTACAGAAACGCGACGCCCTGTGGTGTTTCTTGTGGACCCCACACCCCGCCCCCCTCACAGCCTCCCACCCCACCCCCCTACTGTGGGAAGGCCCAGGTAGGTGAGAATTAAAAATTAATTAATTAAAAATTAAGTCGGAACCGACTTGATGGCACTTAACAACAACAACAACAAGGGCATCCATGAGCTTCCTCCCTGCATTCAGCCACAGCCCTCGGGTCAGCGGGGTCTCTGCCCCCAGAGGTGGGCGTGGGGGGCGGGGAGCTAGCAGAATACGGTGTGTATCCACTGGAGTTTGCCTCTGGGTCCCTGGTCAGCAGTGTGTGGAGGAGGCCCCCTGCGGCCTCGTGAGCTCAGGGTGAGCCCCCACCCCTGGAAGGTCTGTGCACATTTGGGGTGTCTTTACCCAGTGGTCCTCAGAGAAGAGACGGGAGTCCCTCAAAACGAGCAGCTCTCCACTGCCTGCTGGCTCTGGAGGGAGTGGAGGGCAGCAAGGAGGGAGGCGGGTGTGGAGGAGGGAGGTGGACTGGTCTCTGGCCCAGGGTACCCACTGTGCCCCATCCTTCCTGATCAAAGACCCTCACTGACTTCTAGGGGCAGTTTAGCAGCCAGGACAGTGTATCTACCACCGGACTTCAGGGTGCGAGGCCTGGGGTACTGCCCCTTAGCTCTAGGTCAGGTCTTCCCGCACGTGGGGGGCTCTGTTGGGGGTCTGTGCCTGGACACCAGAAAAGGTGCTCAGACAATGCCCTGAGCATAGACCTGCCCCAAGGAGCCCCACGGCCATAGGTGCTTACTGGCTTTGAGGTCCATGTGGTGAGGGTTGAGGGAGGGACTGTGGCTCCCACCTTCAGAACCATGGCAGGGTCCACTCAGGAAAACCCACCCCCCAGAAGGCTGAGGCAACTCTGCCCGCCCACTAAGTGCTACAGCCCCCACTTTACCATCAGAACAGCCCCCGGAGCCCCCCTGCCCTGCCCCAGAGGAGCTGATCCAGGCTGGAGGGAGTTACCTGGGGCCCCAAAGACCTCAGGGACCTGATTCCAGAAGGTCTCCTTGGGCAGTTAGAAAGGCCACTACAAGTAAGGCTTGTGCCAGACCCTAGCCTCGCTGGCATGTTGTCAGTCAAAGGGAAGTCCTGGGGCCCGACGGAGCCTGCGGGCGGGTGGGCGGAGCCGTCGGGCGGGTGGGCGGAGCCAGCCCTCGGTGCACGACTTGCTTACTGTCAGGCACCCTCCGCACTTGCCTTACCCCTAGCAGCCTCACACACACTCGGCAGTCACTGTCACAGTGGCCAGATGCTAGCAGGGCAGCTGGTCACCTTTCTCTCCTTGACCTGGAGTATATACCAGAACCTGGCCATCCCCAGGATCCAAGAATGTGCCCTCTCCTGTTCTCAGGTAAGTCCCATCTCCAACAGGCAAGTGACATCCCCCTGCTCAGGTGGACACCCTCGGCCCCCACAGTGCAGGTGAGGGAGGGGGTACAGGGTCCTGGAGATGCAGGTGGTGGCACAGAAGAGTGGGTCCCAGCTGGGTCCCAACCATGTAGGAAGACTGTAACCCCTGGTCCATCAACCAGTGGCCTGGGCCGAAGGACCCCCCAACCTTGCAGTCTACACCCCGCCCCATGTGTAACCACCTCATCCTGAGTGGGGAGGGCACATCCCAGTGGAGAATCCATGGTGGGGAGACTCATCTCAGAGAAAGAGTTCATCCAGGGGAGGGACTTGTCCCAGGCACTGGAGAGGGGCTCACCCCAGAAGGAGGAAGGGGAACTCATGGAGGTGAGCACTCACCCCGGAAGGAGGTTTGTCCTGGAGAGGGCTCCCTACAGGGCAGTGACTCATCTCATCTTTGCAAGAAGGAGGGCTTCACCATCCCTCGCAGGGAGTCCAGGCCCAGGCAGGAAGCAGCATGCTCCAGGAAGTGGCTCAGATGCTTGAGTAAGACCTACACTCCCAGGGAGGGCATCATGGAAGCAGCAGGGATGTGGGGACATGCACACCAGGAAAGGGACAGCTCAGTTTGCCCACTGAGCCTTGTGGATGCCCTGGCTCTAGTGGGAAAAAGACAAAACGCTGACCTGCCGCAGGCATGCTGGGACCCAGGAATACCATCCCCTGTCTGAGCAATGGCCACTCACACCAGAATCCTTCTCTAGAGGAAGAGGCAGCTTCGCCTGGAAAGAGTCTTGGAGATCAGATTTGGACAGAGTGGGGCTGGATGCTGGGGGTGGGGGTGGGGGTCCTACACAGGAGGCTGCAATGGGAAGTGTGAACGGTCGATGGATGGGAGGTTGGGAACACGACGGATGGATAGTGCAGGGAATTATGGGAGCTGTTAAGGAAGAGACCCATGGAAGTTGTGAGGGGCTCCCCATAGCTGCTGGTGGGGATCACTGAGTGCAGAAGAAAGGGGAAGGGGAGAGTGCCCGGTTGGGGATGCTGGGTGGCCACACTAGCCTAGGAAGTAGGGAGGGAGTTGCTTTGGGACTTGGAACTGACAGGACTGGGACCCCAGAGGGCTCCTCAGGTGAGAGGAGTTTGAGCTCCCCCCCCTCCCCCGGGGGAAATTGTTCAGTACCAGGCAGTAAGTCCCTTATAAACACAGAACTAAACTGCCCAGTCCTGCAGCAGTCTCACAGTCATCACTGGGCTTGAGTCCATTGTAGCCACTGCGGCAGTCCATCTTCCTGGGGCTCTTCCTCTTTTTCACTGACCCTCCACTTTATCCAGGGACTGGTCCCTCCTGATCACATGTCCCAAGTACAAGAGAGGAAATCTTGATAGCCTCACTTCTAAGGAGCATTCTGGCCATATTTCCTCCAAGACAGATCTGTTCATTCTTCTAGAAGTCTGTAGTGTATTCAGTATTCTTTGCCAACACCATGGTTCAAGCGTGTCCGTGCCTCTGTCTTCCTTTTTCACTGTGCAGCTTTCATGTGCGTTTGAAGCCATTGAAAAGATCATGGCTTGGGTCAGGCACACATCAGTCATCAAAGTGATATCTTTGTTTTCGAAGATTTTAAAGAAGTCTTTTGCAATAGATTTGCATAATACAAGTCTTGGCTAGTGCTTTCATGGATTTCGGTTGTTGAGCCAAGTAAAATTAAATCTGTAACAGCGTCAGTATTTTCCTGTTTATTGTGATGTCTGGGACAAGAGTGATGTTTCCTGAGGTGGAGAGCCTGGGGTGGGGGACAGGTGTGGGGAGACAGTGCACTTTGAAGTGCTGCGTTATGACGCAGGTGAGGGTCGAAGGTGAGGGTGGAAGAGTGAGCAGCAGCTGGAGACTCAGTGGGGTCCAAGGCCAGGTAGAAGCTGAGGTGTGGACAGTTAGGAACTGAACCCTCTGAGCCCCCAAAGCCTGAGGCTTCAACCAGGAGAAGGGGACAGGTGAAGTGAAGAAGTCAAGAAAAAGAGACTGGGGTTCTGGGGCACATGAGGAAGAGCAGTGGGGTTATAAGGTGAGACTGGGGACTGTAGGGAGGAGCCGGTATACACAGATGGGTGTCCCTGTATGCAGCAGAGGGACTATTGGAGGGGGTTCTTGCAAGACCCCCCCCATCTTGTGGGAGAAGGTCTGAGGAGTAGTAGGGGATGGAGCTGAGAAGGGAAAGGAAACACCATCATCCCGGTGCCCCTCCCAGCCCCCAACCTCTGCTGCTCCCGGGATTAAGGGGGTGATCCATAAAAGGAGAAAACTCCTCCATGGCTAGTGAAAAGGGGGGTGAGGGGGTAGGGACAAGAACACGTGGGCACAGTGAGTATGACAAACACAGAGGACAAGGAGGGCTGGACGCGCTGAGGCCCTGTGATCCGGTCCCCCTGTGGGATCTCCACCCCTCCTTCCATGGGACCCTCCTAGCATCCGCCCAGTCACCCCGCACCCCATTTTCCCTGGCGGTGACACGACCTCCTGGGAGGAATCGTGGGGACTCCTCTTGAGTTCACTCAACTACTCTGTCCTCAACTCTGTCACCGCGCGGTCCAGGGTCCCCCTCATTTTCTAGGGGGAAAAGCTGAGATGGAACTTGCTCCCCACGCCAGTGCTCTGGGTCCCGCCGGGCCTTCCTCGGGTGGAGGCGCAACTGTGTGGGGACAGCGTGGGACTGACACCCTGCCTGAATGCCAGGCCCCAAGCAGCGCGCCTTGGGGTGAGGGTCCCTCCTCACAGACACCCAATCCGCCCAGCGGAAAGCCCCGCGAAGTCCGACGGAAAGCCCCGGGCAGCGGGCATCTCCACCGTTCCCGTTCCCAGCAGCAGGCCCTCCTGACCCGGCCGCTGGATTCTCAGTTCCCCCAACACTCAGGGCGAGACGGGGGGCTCGGCGCGGTTAACGCCCCCAACGTGGGTCTCCTCCCATACCCCACCACACAGAATCCTTCATAACGTTCACTACCAAATTTAATCACAGAAACATGTGAAAAAACAATTGCAAATTGTTTAAATGTATTACTTAGGTTATATGGATATTAACAGCAAAATTGTTTTGTAAAGTCTTTCTACTTTGAATTACAGCGTTGTTAGTCACAACATTGTCAGGAACAGAACAGAGAAGTCTCTTAAAACTTTTCTCCTTTACCTTTGTAGCTTCCATCTCTAAAAAGCTACTGATCTAGGGTCAGAAATACCACTCATCACAATGTTGTAGCCAACCAGAAGCAGAAGCAACAACAGGGTGGGCTGTATCACATTCAGAGGACACAGGAACATTGGTAGTCTCTTGGTAACTGGATGAAATTGACAACTATGTTGTCAGGCAGCGTAGTGCCTCTGTAGGATTACCACTGGACTGCAAACCACAGGTTCGGTGGTTTGAGCCCAACTGTCAGGCTTTCTGTTTCCATAAAGATTTACAGCCTCAGAAACCCACAAGCACCCCAGCGGGGCTGTGCAGTGTCCAGTCACCAAGACAGGAAGGAACAGGGGGGGATTCCAGTCAGGTCTACAGC